GCCTTTCTCTTCTTGCCGCCTGCTTCTTGAACAGGCGCACTCTTCTTGACATTGTCAAGGTCTGTTTTTTCACCACTTGACCCAGTGGCCATAACAGTGGGCTTGACATCCGAGAGATAGCACTCTCGGGCCATCCTCTGATCTCCCCTTAGGGAGCCGACTGTTCCATTATCCCTCTCAAACTTGAGCAACATAGGAGATGGGTTTATAACAGCCTTGGAATTATTCAGGGTTGGACGACCCAGAATCATGTTGTAGGCCGAGAGTTCTTCTACTACCAAGAACCGGACTACCATGTGTCGTCCTTCCCCTTTTTTGCCCAAGCGGATGGGTAAATCCACTCGTCCCAGTGGGTTGACGACTCCTCCTCCAAACCCTACTAAAGGGTGGGAGGCCGGATGTATGCAATCAGTCTGATATTTTAGTCTCGACAGACATTTGCTACTGATGAGATCTGAGGAGCTTCCGGTATCTATGAGGATTCGGCCAACTCTCTGGTTGGCCACTTTACATTCAATAACGATAGGGTCGTCATGCGGCCCTCTTACCCCTCCTAGATCTTCTTCAGTGATGACAATCTCAGGAAATGTATATTTGGACGGCCGTTCTTGGTGAACGGAATTTACATCTAACCGCCTGATATTGTCTTTGTTGCCCCTAATAGTGGGGCCGCCTCCTGAGAAGCCGCCTGCAATGGTGTAGACGACTGCATCATCAGTATCGGAGCTGTCGGCCTGTTGATTCTTTTTGGCCGACTGCTTTTTTGAGGAAGTGTTCCCCGTAGATTTCTTGACATAAGTGTCAAGATCACCTTGCTCAGCCAGGCGGTCCAGATACCGCATGAGACTGATGCAGTCATTGGTGTGATGACCAACATCATCATGATAAGCACAGAATTTATCTTGGTTCCAGTTGTTCGCAGAACCCTTCATGGGGACCGGCTTCTCAATTGAGATCCGTCCCTTGATTTCTTTTAGGATAAACTGGTTATCGTTGTTAAACGCATACTTTGGGGAGTATGGTTTGAATTCTTTTTTCTTTTTCTAGGCCGGCTGTTTGGAGGAATCAGCCGCCCAGACCTCTTTTATCTTCTCATCTTTGTTTGACGACTGTTTCTGTCGTCCTTCTCGTTTGTCGAACCTTTTCCCATCCGACTGTTTTACCGTACAAAGATCAGTCGCCTGTATATAGGCTTCCGCTTCAATCAAGGCCTCTTGAAGAGTCGCCACCCTCTTTCGGACCAAGTCAAATTTGAAGGTCGACCCGTCCTTGAGACCTCTGAAAAAGTCAGTATAGGCTACCTCATCTGGTAACCCTTGAATCTGTATTCTCATCAGGTTAAACCGCCTGATGTAAGAACGAAGACCCTCCTTCTCGCCCTGCTGAATTGTTCCTAAATCAAGGGTCGTTTTCTTCGCAGGGATGTTCATGGCGAAGTTGGAGGTGAATAAATAAGCAAGCGTCCTGAAGCTATTTACACAACCAGTCGGCAGGTTGCCGAACCATTGTTGTGCAATTCCTTTGAGAGTCGCTGGGAAACACTTGCACCAGGTGGGATCATCCAACCCTTGAAGGTACATCAGGTTGGTGAAGGCCATAAGATGGTCTTCTGGGTTAGTAGTGCCGTCATAGGCGCCTACTAATACATTTTTCACTTTGGCCGGCTGAGCGGCTTCAGTAATTTCCTTGGAGAAGGCCGACGGTTGTTCACCAAGTCTAAGCAACCGTAGCTGCCAGTCCATAGGTTGGACGTTTTTTGCTGCAGGTCCACCAAACGGAGGTGGCTGCAAAAAATACTGTTGTTGCGGCACAAATGGTAAGTTTGGTACCGCCTGGTCTCTATGAAAGCCGGACTGACGGGAGGTGCCGCCTGACTGACTCTCATGATACGACTGAGTATGCCTCATCGAGGCATTTCGCAGACTGTCTTGAAAGTTTGAAGTAGAGGCCGACTCTGACAATCGGTCACTCTTCTTCTGCTCTAGCAGTAGCCGAGCGTCTGTGAATGTTTGCTTCGACCCGTCCGCCTGAATATGACGAATAGGTTTCCTATTTCCTGTAGGAAAACGGAATTTTGTGAAATCAAGGGCAGGTGGCTCCCGCTTCCTGGATTTAGGATGAGGAGTCGCCTCTCGCCCTTGAACTGGCTTCCTCTTCAGTGAAGTGGAGGGCTTCTTAGCCGACTGCTCCTTGACCAGAGCAGGCGGCTTCTTGTTGATCAACTCTTGAATCTCTCCCTTGAAGTCCCTCATGAAGGTCATGAGTTCGTTCCTTGTGATGGGAGCAGACCCATCAGTCGGCTGCTGCCGAACAGGCGGTGCGCCTGCTGGCTCGCTTCCTGTTTGAAGATGTTCCCGTTCCCTTCTTTCGGTATGACGGGTACGTCGGGCCCTTAGGGTCCCGTCTGAAGCTGTGTGAGCTTCAACTTCAAATTCACTCTCAGTATCATGGTCCGACTGAACTTGAGGGTCGTCTAGGGGACGCCTCTCTTCAGGAGTCGGTACAGACTTGGATGCCATCTCAGAAGTACTCTCCCCACAGACGGCGCCAAATGTTTCGGGGTTTTCTGATGTCCTGCGGGAGAGTTACAATTCTGAGACTGGAACCGGACGCCTATACCTGCAAAACAACGGAGACTCCTGGTGGTGGGAGCTCCGCCTCCAATGGTCAAGTTAGTACTTGATTAAGGAGTAATTAATGCGGAAATTAGAGTGAGTGGGTCTCTCTAGGTGAGAGTGTTTAATGTGAGTTTTTAGCGTAATCAGCCTGTAACTCTGGGTGTAATCAATGTGTTTTTTCTGTCCTCCCCCTTAATGAGGATTAAGGGAGGTATCTATAACCTTGGGAAACGTGCCAATCCTAGGTTTAGGTTAACCTAGGGCCGATTGGGCTTCCCTCGGAAGTTGGGCCTGGGTGGCCGGTTTCTCCATTAGGCAGGGAGTATGCCACGTGTCATGACATAACAGGTCCAAGGTGGACGAATAAGCGTGTGCCACGTGGCAAGCCCTGACAGTTCCAACTGGGGGACACTTGGCAGGACCTGATTGGCCCACGTGGCGCATTTCGATTGGTGGGAGCAAAATCCCCTAATCAACAATGATATCGTTAAGCAGTTTAAGAAGACAAAAGTTGAGATGAACGTATGGAAACTTTTGGTGACATCTCGAGAATATAGGTTGGCTGTAATGAATTCCTTGGACAAAATTGGCATAGATTCTGACACTACTCCTGAGGGATTAGCCAACTTCCTCACAAGTGATCTTCCTAGTCCAATTAATTTGATCACCTTTTCTGACAAGGATTTACCTCCAGAAGGTGACAAACATTACAAGGCATTAAACCTCACGGTAGTTTGCAAGAGAATGAATGTCCCTATGACTCTTGTAGACAACGGAACGGCCATCAACGTTTGTCCACTTAGAACTGCGATGATGCTAGGCATAAGAGATGAAGGTTTAACTCCGTCTACACAAGGAATAAGGGCCTACGACAACACTCGTCGTCAAGCTCTCGGTAAAATTACCATGAACGTAACGACGGGAGCAATAGAACATGCTACTACTTCCCAAGTAGTAGACATTAAAGCTTCGTTCAATTTAATGTTGGGGCGCCCTTGGGTTCATGACCTAAAGGTCGTCCTAAGAAAAGGCTATAGTTGGGGAAATTTCCTATCACCATCGATGCTTCGCCTATGAGGATCAAGTCTATAGAAAATCCAATCATCAATGTGGAGCACGACGAGAATGATGAAGACTTATGGGGCTTTAATGAAGAAGTCTCCTTAATCCAGGAGGATGAAAGGACCCCTCTTTTCCATGACCCCCATTCCAACATGATTGTAAATGCTATTATGAAAAAACAAGGACATTTTCCTGGGATGACCCTAGGAAAGAAGAAAGGAATAGCAAAATCGTTGGAGTCACCGAGCCTCCCTAAGTTAGACACTTTCGGACTTGGTTTCGAACCGACTCGGAAAGATCTCAAGCGAGCCTGGGAAAAATCAAAGGCACGTAGAGACGCTCGCACTCAAAAGAAAGCAATCCCAATGGATCAGTACCCTCTTACACTTAATGGTCAATTTATAAAAGGAGAGGACTATCCATGCCATGAATTTCCCGAGCCATTTGTTGTAAACGGCATAAGGCAATCGGGATTTGAGATTTTCTTGAATTGTTATTTCACATATGAAATCCCAACTCCTGTCCATAAGGAGAAAGCACCCCCATGCTTTGACTTTAACATCATGGGATAACTATTTGGGCAAGAAAAGAATGAGCCAACTTACAGAGAAGATAACTCCTCGCTCATTCAAACAGTCTTACAAAGCGAAAGCTTCGATCCCTCGAAGCTAATCACTCCAGCTGAAGGATCACTACAAGGGTGGCGCAAGACCGTCAAGGTGACTACTCCAAGGGAAGAAAAATATCCATCACGATAGGGCAAGGACCAATGTTTGAAGAGTCGTCTGAGTCAGAGTCTGAGTCGGAGTCTCTCCCTATAGAGTCATCTAGGTCTTTACTACTACAAAAAGCATGTTTTTTGGACGCCTTTTAGGCCTTTTTCGACGCTAAAAAGTGTCGAAAAAATATTTCTCGACGCTGCTAAAAAGCGTCGAAAATACGTGAGTCGAGAATTTGGAGGGACACAAAAAAGCGTCGAGAATATCGACGCCTTTTATGTGTCCTAACTAATATACGAAGTGTCGAAAAATACTTATTTCGCGCATTATCCCAAATGTGTATATATTTTAGCGACACTTTTTGTTGTCTTGCGTTTATTCGTGTCAGCCTATGGTTTGACGGGAAACACTTGAAATATGAAAAAATATAGACATTAAAAAGCGTCTAGAGTTTTTTTAAGCTTTTTTTTTTCCTTTTACTAAATTATTACCATCATATATACATTATAGTTATTTAAATTTATCATAAATTAAATTAATAACATTAAAATCAAAATAAACAAATATCATAACTATATTTAAAAAAATAATAAAACAATAATTAATCAACAACAATAAGAGTACGTAGTTAATTACCAAATTTACAAAAGAAAACATCAACACAATTAATAATAATAATAAAAAAAAACAAAAAAAAAACGTCGCATATTATAGTAGCTTGTCCCTAAATAATACATCACTATTATAAGACTAAAAACCAAAATAGATAGATGATGGCCTTATAGACGATATAGTCGCTTGTTTTGATGCTCAACTGTCCTGGCCTATTCTCTTGTTGCACCTACATTGCTTTTTCCAATCTTTAAAAAAATACAAAGTATAAATTAGTACATTACAAAATATAGGCTCAAGATTCAACATGTTGTATTTAAACAACAATGAAAAGACCAATATTTAAACCAGAACATACACATGCTGAGAAAACTACATACAACTTTGAGAGCATATTAAGAACTAGCCTTCACTCACAATTGAGGATCAAGTTATATCCCAGTATAGCTATTGCAACTAGGTAATGCCAGATATTCTTGTTGTACCAAGATGATTCTGCTTTATCGACAGATAAATGGCATAAATCCACACTGCCCTCTACTCATTTTGCTAAAGCCAGCAACAATATTATCCCTCATTCAAGAAACAATAAACTACTTTCTAGTAAAAAAACCCATCAGAAGTTCACAAATACCCATCTTAAAACCACTAGAAGTAACAAAGTGTATAAAACTGTCTGGTTGACTGAGGGAGGCATTCCGCATGTATAGAGCTTTACATGCAGATATGAAAGAAAGAGGTGTCATCAGAAAGTCCAGTTTTCACGTGTCTGAATTGCATAGTTTTCCTTCCTCTTCAATTCCTCTCTAACAAAGAATGCTTCACACTTGCAGAAAACCAAAATTCTATAGCTTCCTGTTGACATCCCTCATGCCAACCTCTCACCCCCAATAGAATGAAAAGCAAAATGGGGCATTGGCATAAAGTGATCTACTCAAGAAATCTATTAAAAATTAAAATACCAATAAAAAGGATAATCGACGCTTATACACACACACACAAGCTCTGAATTTCACACACATCTTATATATTCAATGTTCACTAGAACTAATTATCCACCCTTTAAAAAACAGTAAAATGAACAGCAAAACATCAAAAAAAAAAATTATAGTCAGTTAGTGTCTAGCATAAAGCTAGCAAATTTTTTGCACATTTAAAGATGTAGGTTACAGCTTAAGAATGATAAAGAATCCTTAAAAAAGGCAGAGTACATTGTAGCTCATATTTTTAACTCCCAAATGGAAGTTATATGCAAAAACAGATTTGATCACATTAATCACAGAAGCTAGCCAATAACACTCAATTCCAAAGTCAGTCAATTATTGAAAGAGGGAACCCATGGGTTTAGCTTTCTATAGGAGGTTTTAAATTATGTTCTACTTTGGCTTCATTTGTATCTAATAAATAAGATACTCAACCCATGTACAATTGCATTTTCACTGTCAATTACTCAACCATAACAAAATCAGACAAGATTATGAATATATTGATGTTTGATGCAATGAAAATCGTACCTTAATAAACTTTGGCTTGTCTTAAACCACATGTGAAATGTAACTCTCAACCAGAAATTTCAAACAAATCTCTAATTCAGCATCAAACGATCCATCAGGGGCGCTGAACAATTTCTGATCTTTGACACCAAGTTAAAAAATCTTCATACAAATCTACGGCTGCAACAACATCAAACAGCTGTAAATTGCAACAAACCAGCAGTATAGTAGCCAACAAACATATAAAGATATGCAAGCATCATATATTCTAAGGAGAAAGTTCCCCATATCATTCTTAACTTGTCCTCAATTAATGTCTAATATAATAGAATAATAGGAAAAAAAAAAGGAAATTAGTAAGAAAAACTACCTTGGGAGCTATCAAAATTCAGTTCCACTCCACATTAGGAGGGGGAGGGGTTCATAAATATTTCTACACAACAGGCTCACACTACAAAGAATGAAACAATATACCTAGGTAGTGCTATACGAAACGCTTATCGATAATCTTGAGGCTTCTCCTCATGCGCGCTACTTCTTTTTTCGTGTCTTTGTCATCAGCTTACTTGTTGCTGATTGTCGTATACAAGGTAGGCTCAGTAAGCTGCTGTCGCTGCTGCATACATGCTTTGGTCATGGGGGTGTGGTACGTATCCGTTACCACCACCATATATGTGTCCTCCGTAGTAGCCTCCATTCCACATATTTCCATAGTCACCTCTTGACTGCCATCCGTATAAGTGAAGTGTTATTTAGCATAGAATCACAGTTCAAGGCAGAAAATAGAATCACAAAAACCTGAAATCTAAACAAGAAACAAACATAGACAGTAGAGAAAATATACCTGTTTGTTTGTAGGTTAGCGGCCCCATGAAAGACAGACAATTTGCTTTCCTATAACTGACCCGTTTAGCTTATTCAAAGCCTCTTCAGCATGACCTCTGAAGGTGATACAATCCACAGTTATAATGTAAGCAATCTAATGAGAGATCAGATCATCAAATTTTGTTTCAGAGCATGGTATAAGCCTCACCTGTTTGCAAATCGCACAAATCCGCATCCTTTCCCTACTGGAATTTTAACATAAAATATCTCCCCATATTGAGAGAAAGGTTGCCTAAGATCCTCGTTTATGACACTAGGATCAAGCCCTCCAACAAAAATCTACAATAATAAAAAGATAGATTCATAATTGAAAGACAAAAAAAAAAAAACAAATTAATCTACTAACTATAATAAATTATTCTAGAAAGTCTATTACAGTTGTGTTTGACGAATCTCCTTCAGATTGAGAACCTTGTCAAGCATTGTTACTTGATCCATATCCACCTAGCAGCAAAAGATTATTTGAAAACACAAACATAAGAGTTCATTAATGTCAAGCATCTATAACTTTTGAGGAAATAGATTATTTAGAAAAGCCTTCTTAATTTTTTCCCCCCTCCTGATTCTTTGTTAAACTATTCTTCATCTTAAGTCATAACCAATCATGGTCAACAAATCATGATATGCAATATATATACACTTGAGAATGACAGCGTCATGCTGCACACATATCATAGACACATACACAACATCAACGGACTGAAAAAGGGAGCCTTATTTAATTATGGTGTGTATGTCTGCAAAGATAATCTCTCTGAGCTTATTAATTGGTTGTTAGTATGTAGTTGCAAATTGGTCTTTCATGAGAACATTTCTACCGAACAAATTAAACTTGCAAACTAGTGGTAAAGAACTGAAGCCACTTATTCAATTATTATGCACAAAAGGCATGTTTTGTGAACTAGGTACCACAACAACAGAGGTAACTGCTATATGAACTGTTGATTTGGTTAAACAAAAGCAATATTTGAACAAAATTAATGCAAATCAATATAATTAAAATTATGAAGCTGAGTATTTTAGAAACTAACTCTATATCTGAAATAATTCTGCAATTGAAAAAAACTAACATCAAGAACTCTTATTACCCAGAAAAATGAATTCATCTCAGCTAATAGCCTAATAAGTTGAGAAATCACCCATAATAAATCACATCAAAGCAATAAAAAAGAAATAAAAAATTCATATCAATTTTATAAACTGCAAATCTCAAAGAGACATACATTCAGCAATATTCGCCCTTGCTGTTAGAGGCTCGACGATTCTACTGCCCACCATTTTCATGGAATATAATGAGAAGGTGATCTTTGGTTTAAAAAACCCCTTCTTTTTCTTCTATTCGAGGTCCAAACTCTGCTTTGGTCCAACCAATAACTCTAAAACTATGAAAGAATGGAGTAACAAAATCAATGTCAAGTTTTACATGTAAAGAAATAGATCCAAAAAAAATGAAATTAGCAATCCAGTAAATCACTAATGTATAAGAAAATATCTAGAAACTAAGAGATTAATTGTACAAATAGAAATTCAACAAAATCTATAACCTGGGGTTTGAAAACGAGTAAAATTGAATAATTGCAACTTGCAAGTATCAATTAAAATCAAACAAAAAAATGAAAGAAGCAATTTATATCTATTAAGAGTAGAAAATTAACAAAGATTCATGTAAAAATGTAACATGTGAGGAGAACAAGAGCAATGGCTATCGCAAATCGAATTTCAATGCAAACCATCAGATTTGATATAAAGACAATAATTTTTGCCATGATATATAAATTACTGTGATAGATTAAACGCAAGAAGAAAGAGGATCTGAATTTAAACTCTAGGCCATGACTCCGTGAATCTATGTAAAGAACTCAGATGTAATGAAGGAAAAAAGAAGATAGTAGTTTTCGAGATGTTAGAATATCCTGTAGGGTTCCTGATGTTAGGTGGTTTTTGTGAATGCGGTACATCTATTTGAGTTCACGTGCGGGCCACATGTTAGTATTCTCGACGCTTTTTGTAGTCTAAAATTACTTTCGACTTTAAAAAGTGTCGAGGAAATGCGGGCAACATAATTAGATGTTGACGCCCTTGCTTGGCGTCGAGGCTACAGTGTCGAAAAAACACTCATTTTGTAGTAGTGTAATTAGTAGTAACACCTTCCCCTCCTATTTCTTCTCCTAGAATAGTTAGTGATCAAGTTCCTGAGGACATATCACTCTTTGATGTAATGATCTCAGATTATAATAATATTTCTTCTTCTCCTTATTTCTTGTGTTCTTCTTTAACCCAAGATGACGAGCATTGCTTAACTAACAATGAAATAGACAAAGAAATTATTAAAGTAGTGGAAACACTCGAAAAGAAAACACCGGTAATTGAAGAAACTGAAACGGTTGATATCTCAAATGATTCAACCAATAAAAGAGAAGTTAAAATCGGATTAACACTTAATGAACAAGAAAGAACCGATTTAATTAACTTACTTAAAGAATTTATCGATGTATTTGCTTGGTCATACGAAGATATGCTAGGTATTAATAGAGAAATAGCTCAACACACTATACCACTAATTCCAGGAATGAAGCCCGTAAAACAAAAGTTACGTCGAATGAAACCCGACGTAGCTCTTAAAATAAAAGAAGAAGTCCAAAAACAAATACCTGCAGGTTTCATCAAGGTATCTAAATACCCTAAATGGGTCGCCAACATCGTCCCAGTTCCGGAAAAAGATGGAAGGGTAAGAATGTGTGTCGACTATCGAGATCTAAATAAGGCAAGTCCAAAGGACGACTTCCCTTTACCACACATCGATATTCGGGTAGATAACATGGTAAATCACGCGCTTCTCTCATTCATGGATGGGTACGTAGGTTACAACCAGATTCTCATAACAAAAGAAGACATGGAGAAAACAACTTTCATAACACCATGGGGCACTTACTGCTACACGGTAATGCCATTCGGGTTGAAAAACGCGGGTGCTACTTACCAACGTGCAACAACTGCCTTACTCCATGACATGATGCATAAAGAAGTCGAATTATATGTCGACGACATGATTGTAAAATCAAAATACCATCAAGTAGCCTTAAGAAATTTTTTCGAATGGTTAAGAAAATATAATATGAGGTTGAACCCATCTAAGTGTGCTTTTGGAGTCACCTCAGGCAAGCTTTTGGGTTATGTCATAAGCTCTAGAGGAATAGAGATAGACCCGACCAAGATTAAAGCAATCATGTCAATGCCACCGCCCAAAACCGAGAAACAGATTCGAGGATTTATTGGCCGGTTGCAATACATAAGTAGGTTCATATCAAAATTGATGACAATATGTGAACCAATCTTCAAAAATCTCAAGAAGAATGTACCAGTGATATGGGATGACGAGTGTCAAAAAGCCTTTGAAAAGATCAAAGCCTATCTCGCAAATCCTCCCGTATTAGCACCAGCACTTCCCGAAATACCTCTTAGGTTATATTTGACGGTCACCAAAGAGACAATGGGAGCTATGCTAGCACAAGAAGTAGAAGGCAAAGAAAACGCAATCTACTATCTAAGCAAGAAGATGCTCGAATACGAAGCACGGTATACGCCACTTGAGAAGTTGTGCCTCGCCTTGGTGTGGGCCACAACCAAGTTAAGACATTACATGCTAGTGCATACTGTCTTTGTAGTCTTCCGATTAGATCCACTCAAGTATCTATTCGAGAAATCTACACTCAATGGACGCATATCAAGATGGATAGTCAATTTAGCCTAGTTTGATGTAAGGTTTATGCCGCAAAAAGCTATCAAAGGATATGTGGTGTCAGACTTTCTAGCAGACTTTCCAATAGAAGAATCGACGCCAATACAAGAAAATGAATTTCCAGATGAAGACTTAATGGTCACTGAAGATGATACTTGGACCTTGTACTTCGACAGAGCTTCAAACCAAAAGGGATGTGGCGTTGGAGTATTACTAGTATCACCTAAAGAAGAGCATGTTCCAATCTCCATAAAGCTTGATTACGACGTTACCAACAATGCTGTTGAATATGAAGCATACGTGGTAGGCCTTGAAACATCTTTGGCATTGGGAGTAAAAAAGTTAAGGATATTCGGAGTCTTTTCTTTGATTATCAATCAAATATCTAAAAGGTGGAAAGTAAGGAGCGAAAGTCTAGCCCCTTACCAAACCTATCTGGAAACTCTTACCGATCAGTTAGAGAAGGTAGAATACACATATCTACCTAGGGAAGAAAATCAATTTGTTGATGCCTTGGCAAGACTAGCCTCAATGGTTAGGATTCCCACGGAAATCGAGCAAATGCCTTCAACTATAGAGAAAAGGCACAAACCAACATACATCTAGGCTATAGAAGACGACGAAGTAGTCCAACACAAAGAAGAAGAAGAAGAAGAAGAAGAAGAAGAAGAAGAAGAAGAAGAAGAAGAAGAAGAAGAAGAAGAAGAAGAAGAAGAAGAAAGAAGAAGAAGAAGAAGAAGAAGAAGAAGAAAGAAGAAGAAGAAGAAGAAGAAGAAGAAGAAGAAGAAGAAGAAGAAGAAGAATTGTGGTACACGAATTTACTCAATTATGTCACCAAAGGAGAATACCCTCCCCACGCTGACAAAAGAGCAAAACGAGCATTAAGACTCTTGGCTTCCCAATATGTACTCATAGACAACGAGCTACATAAAAGGGTACCTAAGGGTCGAGCTCTCTTATGTGTAGGAAAAAAGGATGCACAAAGAGCAATGAGAATAGTCCACGAAGGAATCTGTGGCTTGCACATAAATGGCAAAATGTTAGTCCAAAAAATAATGCGAGAAGGATATTATTGGACTACAATGAATAGGGATTTCCATCAATATGTAAAAAGATGCCCTAAGTGTCAAATCTATGCCAATTTAAAACATGTTCCTCCATCCTTGCTCTACACCTACACATAGCCATGGCCATTTTCTACATGGGGAATTGACATCATCGGAAAATTACTCCCCCAGGAATAGGAGGCCACGAATATATACTAGTAGCAATTGATTACTTCACAAAGTGGGTTGAAGCGCAATCATACGCAAACTCACTGCAAAACATGTAGCACTCTTTATCGAGAGAAATATTATTTGTCGATAAGGAGTCCCACATGAAATGATAAGTGACAATGGAACTCACTTTCAAGCCGAATGTGAAGAATTGTTACAAAAATATGGCATTCAACATCATCATTCTTCCCCTTATAGGCCTCAAGAAAATGGAGCAGTCGAGGCAGCCAACAAAAATCTAAAGACTATCATAGAAAAAATGACGGAAAATTATAAGGATTGGCCTGAGAAACTTCACTTAGCATTGTGGGGTTACCGCACGTCAATTCGCACATCAACAGGAAATACGCCATTTTCCTTGGTATATGGAATGGATGCCGTACAACCTGTCGAACTAGAAATTCCATCTCTACGCATTGCGTTAGAGAGTAAACTCGATGAAGTTGAATGGACTAGGGCAAGATATGAAGAATTAATTCTACTCAATGAAAAACAACTAGAAGCTCTATATCACACTCAGTGTTATCAAACTCGTATGGCTAGGCATTTTAATAAGAAGGTCAAGACAAGAAACATCAAAGTAGGAGACTTGGTATTAAAAGCATTAAGGAAAAATGTTTTAGATCCAACGGGAAAATTTAAACCTAATTGGTCTGGACACTACATTGTCAAAACAATCCTGTCAGGAGGTGCAGCAAAACTAACTGATATGGATGGCAATGAGTTCTCGAACATGACAAATCTTGACCAACTTAAGAAATACTACCCATAATTACTTGAGTAGGATACTCAAGAGATCTACGTTTAGCCTGATTCCTTAAGAAAGGATACGTAGGCAACCCTTTACGGGTGCGGCCACTTTATTTTTCGAAAATCTCGCGTCCCAAAATTAATTAAAAATTCGACAGAAGGTCGGCGAAATATCTGCGTCACAGAAAACGTTCCAGCGTCAGCAATTGAGCATTAGCGCCAGCCGACGACCGTTAGCGCCCGACGATGGCACCGTCGCCTGACGCCAGACCGCCTTGGCCGGCGCCAGTCGCAAATAGGTGGCGCCAATTCACAGTTTAAATTCTGGGAATGTTTCGGTGTTTTTTGGAAAATTTTCGACTTCCGTACTCGAAGAATTTCTGGAAAATTAATTTCTTTCGGTTTTCAGTGCTTTAATAAAATAAATTTAAAGTAAATAATTTAATTAAAAGCTGAAATTTCATTAATAAAATAAAATTACATTATTGATGGAATTTAAATAAAGTTGAAATAAATTAACTTTAAATAAAAAAAAAAACATAAACTAAGTCTAATAATTGGAAATTAAGCAATGCTCCTAATCTTCCTTTTCTTTCCTAGCCCTTTTCCAATTTTTGTCTGCTTCCTCCTCCTCATCCATAACCTTAGCTAGTAGGCATCCTTTATAGGACCTACATTCAATCTTAGAGTAGATAGTTTCCCTTTCAGCTAGGACTCCATGCTTCTTTTTCTACCCAAGCTTCTTTCTCTATGGTGTCAGCTTTCCTTTTTCCCTTATCTTTTGTAGTACTTTTCTTCCTAGGCATTGCAGGTGTCTTGAATTCAATTCTTTCACCTAAGCGTTCCCTAACAGGAACCAACTAGTCACCTAGACGACTCTTCACATCAGTTTTATCCTGATTTTTCTTCGAGTCCTTTGAAGGTTTCTTCAGCAGCCACTTCTTCACATCATTGGGCAAGGAAGGAGGAACCTTTTGGGAAATCACTTCCCATAATGGTCTAGCACTCCAATAAGCATCAAATCTGTCTACTTCCTGGGGGACAGGGAACTCGTAGGGAGGACGAAGATCTCCAGAAGGAATATTCTGAAGTAAGCCGTATTGTCTTTTTACTCTGCAGGGATAGTAATAAGTCATACGGGACAAACTTGGAAGACGG